AAACACTGACAAAATTATGGAAAACACAGACAAAACGCTAGAACAATTTTGGAAGAAAATACAAGAACAAAATGACAAAACAAATGAAAAATTAGAAATGATTCAAAATCTACAGATAGAAATCCAGAAGATTAATACTAAATTGTCAGAAATAGATAACACATTGAAAGGGCAAAGGACTAGAATTAACGGAAGACAGAATTAATGAAATTGAAGACAAATACCTGAATACTTCTTTGGAAAGGGATCAATCAGACAAAAGATCAAAATAAAATGAAGAAAGCCTAAATGTTATGTGGGATACCATCAAAAGGAATAAACTACGTGTCACTGGAATTCCAGAACAGGAAGAGAAAAATAAAACCACTGAGAAAATTGTCCAAGATTTGTTGGCAGAGAACTTCCCTGATATAATGAAAGATGAGAATATATCCATTCAGGAAGTCCAACAAACCCCAAACAGGACAGACCCCAAAAGAAAATCACCAAGACATATCATCATCAAACTCATCAAAACCAAAGACAAAGAAAGAATCCTGAAAGCAGCATGGGAAAAACAAAAAGTTACTTACAAAGAATAACCAATAAGAATAAGCTCTGATTTCTCAGCAGAAACCATGCAAGTGAGAAAGCAATGGGATGGTAAATATAAAACCCTGAAAGAGAAAAAATTTCAACCAAGAATTAAATACCCAGCAAAACTGTCCCTCAAATACGATGGTGAAATTAAGACATTTCCAGATAAGCAGAAATTAAGGGAATTTGTTAAAACCAGACCAACCTTACAAGAGATGCTAAAGGAAGTTCTTTGGACAGGGAAGCAACAACAGCCAACAACATCTGACCATTAACATACATGATGATATAACCCAGAAACCAACCCAGCTATGGAAGTATCCAAAGTAAATAAGCCTACAAGACTGTAAACAGGGAACCAGAGACACCAACCGACAAATGAGGGCAACTACAAACCAAAAAGAGGGAAATAAAATCTGTGTCATTACAGAACTTCTAGATGGTAGGGAAGTCAAGACAACTACAAGATAGAATGGGCTATTCTAAACTTGGGAAGAAAACTATAAATCACAGGGTAACCTCAAAGAAAAATGATAAACACATCAAAATAGAAAAAGACTACCACAAATATTTAGCCAATTACTAAAATAATAGCAACAAAGAAAGTGATAACATGATTCATAAACAAAATGAGCTCAGCATAGAAAATTACATAGAACAAAGAAATCAACACCATAAAAAAGCACTTAACAAAAATGCAGCAACAAATTCATATTTGCAGATAATTACGTATCTGGCAAGGGACTTATCTCTAAGATTTATAGAAAATTCCAATGCCTCAACACCAAAGGAATTAACAATCTAATTGAAAAATGGGCAAAAGACATGAATAGACACTTCACCAAGGAGCATATTCAGGTGGCCAGCTAATACATGAAGAGATGCTCACAACCACTGGCCATCAGAGAGATGCAAATCAAAACAACAATGAGATACCGCCTCACCTCAGCACTGATGGCAAGGTTCTGCAAGACAGAAAATAACAAATGCTGGTGGGGATGTGGAGAGATTGGGATTCTCATACACTGCTAGTAGACTGTGAAGTGATACAACCACTGTGGAAAGCAGTATGGCAAGTTCTTAGAAAGCTGGAATTGGAGATACCATTTGACCCAGCAATCCCATTACTAGGCATATATCCTAGAGAGGTGAGAGCCAGGACAGGAACCTGTGCACACTTGTGTTCATCACAGCACTATTTACAATAGCAAAATGATGGAAACAACCTACATGCCCATCAGCGGAAAAGTGGATGACCAAACTATGGTACGTACACAAACTGGAATGCTATGCAGCACTAAAAAATAATGTAGAGTCTGCAAAACACTGCATAATACGGACGAACTTGGAGAACATTATGCTGAGTGAAATAAGTCAATGAGAGAAGGACAAATAGAGTATTAGTTCGTTGTTGTAGAGGGTCAAGGAAAGGTTTATATATGGAGGGGAGGGAAACTTTCTTTGTTGGTTGCCAGGAGTAGGAGGGGAGGGGAGAGAGAACACTACAGCAAAAAAAAAAGCACTGACCCATGTCACTTTAGTTTTGTGTATTTTACTGTACATAAATTTTATTTCAATAAAATGCATTAAAAAAGTAGGCATTTAATTAAAAAAAAAAAACTTAATAAAATATAATAATAATATGTTGTTGTTGTTATGTGCTGTTGAGTCAGCCCTGACTCATAGCGACCCCTCCTTGGGTTTCCAAGGCAGTATCACTATGGAAGTAGGATTGCCCAACCTTCCTTCTGAGGAGTGGCTGGTGGGTTTGAACTGCCAGCCTTCTGGTTAGCAGTCAAGTGCCTTAGCCACTACGCTACCAGAGCTCCCAATAATAATATAATAATAAAATATTATTTCATATAACCTAGCATCACTAATCTTAAATTAACCGGGACAAACCTACAAGATCTGGAGAGACTGAGATAACAGCTCACAAATAAGATGCATTTTAGACTTAAGCTTTTCTTCTCTTTGTAGCTGTTGAAAAGTTAAATAAGAAAGCACTGATATGATATTCTATCAAAATCTATGTGGTTAGTTTTGATGGAAGGAGTGCCTAGGTGGCACAAACAGTTAAGTCCTCTACTACTCATTTAGCTGAAAGGTTGGCCATTTGAACTCACCCAAAGGTACTTCCAAAGACAGGCCTGCAATCTGTTTCTGGAAGGGCAGTCTAGAAAATCCTATGGAAGAGTTCTACTCTGCACATGAGTTTGAATGAACTCCACGGCAACTAATAACAACAGGAACCTTTGATGGATCCTGCCAGAGGTCAACTGAAGGAAAGTTTATGAATAAAAGTAGAGTGATTGGGCACTACTCCAATACTACAGTGTCTTTGCACAACTCTGCTGTCACACCATTTTACAAATGAGGAAATTGAGGCTTAAAGAGATTAAGTCATTTACATCTATTATAATTCATTGTTTTTACCTTATAGTTTGTGCCTTTAGGTCAGTTTCTAGGAAGCAAAAGAAGTGCTTAACTCCCAAGTATATAAATACGTAACATGTTTTATAGCACACAATATGAGGAAGGGGTGGTAGAAGAGAGGAAAAAGGGAAAAGGGTAATAGATGAAGGGAACAGTCCTCAACCCAAGGGATCTCTTCAACTTTGGGAGGTGTGTATAAGCTTCTACTGGTTTTAGTAACTCAGTAAAGGACAGTCCTAGATCTTTTGCTCTGGTCCAAATTCCAAGAGAATACAACATGATTTTGGAATAGACTCCTGACAATAAGATGAAAGATCTTACAATAATTAAATGGTTTAATTAAAGACTCAAAGATGAAGTTACAATCATTTCTCAATATTAAGTCCTAAAAAGGTTTATATATGGAAGTAAACTTTCTTTACTGGTTTACCGGAGGTGGGAGGGAACACTGACCCCCCCAAAAAAGCATTGACCCATGTCATTTTAGTTTTGTGTATTTCACTGTACATAAAGTCTATTTCAATAAAATGTATTAAAAAATTATTAAGTCCTAAGACTCCTACTATTAAGTTATATGTAACACTGACAACCTAGCTTGAGATTTCAATCTAAATGTCCTAACATATGGGAAAAAATCAACAAGGATGATTGGAAAATGAGGCTCTGACTGAAGAACAATACAGAGCATTTGAAGAATGACAACTAGAAAGTATACAGTACAAGTTTTCCCAATTTATCTGGGCAAGTTTTTGTTCCAATTAGTGATAACTTAAATCCTTGAGTACCAGTGAAAATGACATTTAAACTGGAAATTATTCTAACACTGAATCACAAAATAATTGTGTTGTTTGTTTTGTTAGGTGCAGTAGAGTAGGCTCTAAGTAATAGTGACTTTATGTACAACAGAACGAAACACTGCCTGGTCCTGTGCCATCCCCATAATCTTTGCTATGCTTGAGTCCACTGTGGTAGCCACTGTGTCAATTCATCCTATTAAGGGTCTCTCTCCCTTTTTTTGCTGACCCTCTACTTTACCAAGCATGGTATCCTTCTCCAGGGACTGGTCCCTTCTGACAACATGACCAAAGTAGGTGAGATGAAGTCCGGCCATTCTTGCTTTTAAGGAGCATTCCTGCTGTACTTTTATGTATTTATAAAGAATCATAAGCTAAATCCAAAACAGTGTTAGAAGTTTGGACTGCTACATGTTGAAGTTACTTGTAGATAATCATGAAACAATTTTCTCCATAGGCTCCTGTGGTGGTTACGTTTGTGTGTCAACTTGGCTGGGCCTGGTTGAGTGGCTGGGCAGCTGGTGGTAATTATTCCACATGATGAGACTGGCAATCAACTCCATGGTGGGATCTACCACAAGCAGGTAAGTAGCTTCTTTGGGTATGTGGTCTGCTTCCCATATATAAGCAGCAGCTTTGGGAATGGTCTCTAACATATGGCACACTTGGACCCTGCATGTAGTTGTGTTGTTGTTCAGCAGCCTGCCATGCTCTGCTGACCTGCAGACTTACAATGAACTTGAATTATTGGCTTGCATGTGGTTTAGTAACATCAGGACTGTGCCTTTTTACTTGTCAACCTTGGACTTCTCAGCCTCAGCAGCCAGCAGCTGTCTGAGTGAAGAAATGCCTCTAGCTCCAGTGGGCTGGGAACAGGAGGCAGAGCTAGATCCCAAGGTTGAGGGGCTTGCACTTTGAACTTGGACTTAAAGCCTCCAAACTATAAGAGAATAAACTCCTGTTTGTTAAGGCCATCCCATTTGTGGTATATTCTTGTCAGAGTGGCACCAGGTAACCAGAACAGTTCCTTATCTGCTTTGCTTACTTATTAATGCCTTTTGGTGTTGGTAATGAAGGTGGAAGAGTTGCACAGAGGGTGACACTGTAAGACCTAATCTCCAAGATAAATTTCTATGACCCGAAAGCAAAGTCATGCACTATTGAGAAGAACATTTTTATTTAGGATAAACTCACCTCAAAGAATATTTTGAATGTTTGATGCAGAAAGGCTCCCTGGGACTTAAAAACTTCAGCTGGAATTTAATAATAAATATTTAGGAAGTTACTCAAGTAATATATCTCAGCATATATAAAATATACCATGTATTTATTAAAAATACATCTTGTAAACTTAGGTACAGCCACAAAATTAGATATGATAAATGCTCATTTGCTGAAGACACATATAAGGAAATTTTAATATGAATTTATTCTAGTATTGACTAGAGTGAATGTTATCCAGAAAAACGTCTATGATGTAAAAAAAAATTAACAAGAGAAAAAGAAATTAAAATGTGACAACAAATGTTAATGATTTTTGATTTTCAAATGAAGGATCATAAACTACTTCTGAGTTTCTTTTCAAATTTAAGGCATTGTGGTATAGTAAATTACTTTGTGTGGCTTTTCTACCCATAAGTCTTTGTAAACTCCAAGGTGGGACTTGCTATGAGCAACTGAGGAGTTCCTGATTGCTGAAGGTGTCCACCTGGAGTATTTCTGTTGGGAGTGGCACAAAACAATGTTCTGGGAGGTGCC